ATATATATATATATACACACACACACATCATTTTAGAGCACACTTTAAACAACGTTGTGACCTTGTTGTTTAGGATGGTGATTTATCCCGACTCAGTGGGAAACCCGACTCACCCGACCTGAACGGGGACGGGGATTCCCCTCTAAAATGGGTCCTAGGGCCAGGGACGGGGGATGTTACTCAAACTAGGGTTGGGGCTAGGGATCCACAGTAAACTCACACACTACTAGAAAACCAGGTATCAGCGACGAATATGATTTCCCTCGCAGATCAGCGAGGGATCAGCGAGGGAAATGCCAAAAAACACATTCCCTCGCTGATCTGCAAGGGAAATATTCCCTCCCTGATCCCTCACAGATCAGCGAGGGATCTGCGAGGGAAATGCCAAAAAAACTCATTCCCTCGCTGATCCCTCGCAGATCAGCGAGGGATCAGCGAGGGAATAGCCAAAAAACTCATTCCCTTGCTGATCCCTCGCTGATTTGCGAGGGAAACTTCTTCTCCAAATTCCCTCGCTGATCCCTCGCAGATCAGCGAGGGAAATGACAAAATTCAATTTCCCTCGCTGATCCCTCGCTGATCTGCGAGGGATCAGCGAGGGAATTTGCAGAATTCTCATAGGCTTCTCTACTCCTAGTCAAACTTTTACACTTACAGTTTTAAAGTCATCCGAAACTCCTCTAAACTCTTTTTAAATCTACAGTTTCTTAACTGTTTCAAAGACCGCCAATCTCATTCACACCTACGGTTTGACTTTCAAGTAGTCAAACCATTACACTTAGCCATTTAAAGTCATCCGAAATTCTTCTAAACCTACGTTTGACTTTCTAGTAGTTAAAACTTTACATGTAGGCTTCTTAACTGTTTCAAAGACCGCCAATCTCATTCACACCTACGGTTTGACTTTCAAGTAGTCAAACCGTTACACTTAGCCATTTAAAGTCATCTCAAATTCTTCTAAACCTACAGTTTGACTTTCTAGTAGTCAAAACTTTACATGTAGGCTTCTCAACTCTTTCAAAGACCGCCAATCTCATTCACACCTATGGTATATTATACTTCATATCCTTCAATGACAAAGGATTTGAAAGATTGGTGGGCAGTTGTCAAGACAAAGGCTCGTGGTATATATGAAGTATCCGACATGATTAACGATGTTGAAAACAATGATCATGTGGATGGAGAACAATTCTTTCAAGTCAATGAAAGGGTAACTCATACAACGTTCTCATTAGGAAACGAGCTCGATGATGTTCGTCTTGCCACAGAAGAGGTAAACATACTCCATAATATAAATGAAGATGAATGTGGCGACGAATCGAACGAAGATAGCGAAGATGAACCAGAATTTGAAGACATAGATGATGATTCAAATGATGAAGATGAACCGATGTTATCTGATCATTCTTCTGATGAGTAGCTTGTCTTCTGTATGCTTATTTCATAGTTGTACATATATAATCGCGATTTGTCATTATCTTTTTTCATGATGTAATATAATGTTTGTTTTTTCAGGAGATGTCACGCCGAGAGCGTGGTAGAGGCCGTCATGGGAGCCGTGGCAGCCCCATGTCTGGTAGGGGTAGCAATTCTGCCCGTGCCGATGACATTGTAGAGTTTTCGGACACCGCTTTTCGCGGTTTAGATGAGCAAGAGGCCATGGCAACCCCAGCTTCGACAGGTTCGGGGTCAGGGAGAGGCCTCAACCTAGAGATACTGACACCGAGTCATCCGAGCCACCGAAGACATCTGTCTTTGTTAGGCCATGGGTAAGTAGACGTGGTATAAGACTTCGTATTACATAATAAATTAATATGACTGTCTTTGTGTTGAAATATTTGTTTAATTGTACAGGTTTAAAGATGCCCATGTTATCCGAGAGATGACGACTATCTTCAGGTCTTCCTTTGCTGGTCCGTGGCATAGATGGAAGGAAGTACCTCAGGAAGCATGTGACTTGATGTTCCAGCGCTTTAGGGTTGGTGTACCATTTTAATGACATTATACATACAAGATTATTGTTTTTATATTTATACAAACATTGTGTGTGTAGGCTAAGTTCCAATGGGATCCTGAGCTGGATGACACGATTCATTCATTATGGACCAAAGCCATGCACAACAGGTACTCTGATTGGATGAGCTCTGCACGTGATTGGGCCGTGGCACAGGCCTATCATGGTGATCAACAATRGGATGGTGAGRACTTCTYACGGATTAGATTACACCATCCCRTATGGATACCAKACAGGTTTTGGCTACAGATGATTGACACGGTATGCATCTCTATTGTGAGCTTTTCGAACTGCCATGTGTACCGCCTTTCGCCTTATATATGTGCTCTGTTTTTAACAGGTCTGGGATACCGAGGCTTGGAAAAGGAAATCCAGGATCAATCGGGCCAATCGGAACACCGAGTTTGAGGGGGTGTCATCCAGACACACTGGGGGATCAATTAGTACGGGACAACATCGAGACAAGATGGTGAGTATCTAATCTTTTTTGAAAATATAATTCGTTCTTTATGTTAGTAACAACTTAACCTAATTGTCTRATRTAGRCACRAGTAHTGGGTCGTGAGCCTACTGCTACTGAGGTGTTTGAGCGCACTCACTGCACGAACCGGAAGTTCGATCAAGGTTCGTCTGAACCGCCTACCGATCCTCCTTAGTTCAGGTACCCGAAAGCTGCTAGGTATCATGTAAGTTTTCTAAAACCATTACTTTGGTTAATAGATACGTTGGTAGGTTTAAGGTAATATATTTCAATAAACATAGTGATGCTATTAGTTTGGGCTGCCATTGTTGGGCAGACGTTAGGCTAAGTAAGTAGGTT